CATTATTGTTATTCTGAAGGGACTTAGTCCCAGAATAAAGTTTTTTTTTCTATCTATCTATCTATATATTTATAATTTAATATTTCATAGATATAGTATTTTTTTCCCTTGTATCCATCCATATCTTCAAATTTTAGATACTGTAATTTGAACTAGGTTTTATTAACGGAGTCCAGGTAATAAGCATTTATACTGGTTGGCAAGGCAGAAAAGGGCGTCCAGGTATGCTGAGACACGTATGGTTCGCTGGAGGAAAGGTACGATACAGAAGACAGGATGGATCCCCGGTCATCATCGTCAACAAAAAGAGTGACATTGAATTGCTGGAATAAAATAGGTCTCACTGTTCCCTCCAACCTCTTTTTTATGAATATCTTTTATTATTTTTTAAAAATATGTTATTGGTATTTTTTGTTTCTATAGTTCATAATAATTTATTCTATTATAAGTATTTTTTTTAAAGATGAAATTTTCTTATTTTACTTCGGATCAGATTTTAATTTTTTCTATGCTTACCTTCATTTAAAGATTTCAAGTAAGATCTATATCAATATAATGTACATAATTTGTTATTATATCTCATTATGTAAGTTTAAAAATGTGCCTATTCCATCAATATTAAAACCATTTTGTCACACTCCGCAAATTATCCTTACCCTGACCTCTTCATGACCAATACCTTAATATCCTGTCACGTTAACTCCCAATCCCTTCTAGCACATTATGACGAATTCTTCGATTATTTTCACCATAACTTCCATCATATCATAGCCGTTTTAGAAACTTGGCTCAAACCTGATATTCCCTCCCTTTCCGTTTCCTTACCCAACTATACCATCTTCCGTCATGATCGAATGGAACGAACAGGTGGAGGTGTGGGATTGTTCGTACATGACAGTTTGACGGCCAAAGTCCTTCTAAAATCTCCTCCTTCAGACGTCCCTAACATAGAATATCTGTTTGCCCAGAATTCCTTTAGTACCTTTCCTCTACTCTTTATCGTTATTTACCGACCTCCTCGTGTCCGATTCGATCCCACTCTCGAATCCTCCCTCCTTACATATATTCCTCTCTACGAAAGTATTATTATTGCTGGTGATCTCAACACCAACCTCCTTTCAAACACTCCGGACAGAACATATCTTACCGACCTAGTTTTTTCATTAGATCTATTCATTGTACCCTTTCAATCCACCCATCATACCCAATCCACTGATACTTAGCTAGATTTATTTATTATTGATTCCTCACATAACCTATAATCCTCTACGCAAATTCCAGTTCCCTTCCTTTCATCCCACGATCTTATTGAAATAACATACAACTTCTCTACTCCTTCACCTAAACCCAAACAAATTTCCTGGAGAGATCTAGATTCCTTAACCACTGAAAACATCAGCCCCTTCCTCGATTCTTTTTCCACTTGCTTAGAACCCATCTATTCTCTCCCCTCCATCGATGATATGGTTGAATGCCTTTCCTCCAACCTCCTCGATTTTCTCAATTGTCACGCACCTCTAAACACGTGTCTTTAGACGTCCTCCCGCTCCTTGGATCAATACAGAAATAAGAGAACTAATGAGGAGAAGAGAAACTGCTAGAAGACGATACAGACGTACTAGACTAACTCAGCATTATTCCACATTTAAATCTCTACGAAATCTCACACAAATGACCTTACGTCGCGCCAAAGCCCAATACTTCAATGTTTTATCCCAAGAACCTAACCCTAAATTCAAATGGAGAATACTTAAGAACCTTTCTGTTGTTACCTCGAAAACCTGCACACAGTATCCAATCTATCCCAACACGCTAAATTCTTTTTTTACTAACCATTTTCTATCCACATCTCTATCTGACCGCTCATCTTTTTCCATTACCGAAACCCCCTTTGATCCTGATAAGTTTTACTTTCTCGACATCTCTCCTACAGACCTGCTCTCTGCCACCCTTAAATCCAAAACGAATGATTATGGTGCTTACCAAATACCGGTTAAAGTTATCAAACTCTGCCTTCCAGCTTTACTACCCGCACTTCTACACATATATAATTTCTCTCTCCAAAATTCCATTTTTCCCAAATCCTGGAAAAGAGCCCGTCCATTGAACAAAGTTCCAACTCCTTCATCAGCTTCCGACTTCAGACCCATCTCCATCCCATCCAAGCCTCTAGAAAGATTAGTTCACTCTCAGTTGAACAGCTTTCTCGAGCAAAACCATCGCCTCAATCCCTTACAATCTGGTTTCCGATCCCAGTATTCCACCCAGTCTGCCTTGCTAAAGATTACCCAAGACCTCCAATCTGCCATAGATAAACAGAAAATCTCCATCCTAATTCTTTTTGACTTTTCCAAGGCGTTTGATTCCGTTAATCATGAGATCCTTCTTTCCAAACTCCAAAGCCTGCCCACGTCAAATAGCGTCCTAAAATGGTTTCTATCCTTCTTATCGAATCGATCTCAGACAGTTACAATACCGAATAAACCTCCATCATCATCACTTCAATTGACGCGAGGAGCTCCTCAGGGTTCCTCACTCTCCCCGACCCTTTTCTCCATCTATATTAGTGACCTTCCTAACGCCATTCAACACTCCAATTACCACCTATATGCCAATGATTTCCAAATATACCAATCATTCCAACCTTCTGAGATGCCTGAGGCTACAAGAGGACATCGACTGCATCAACAGATGGACAGAAATAAATGAATTAAAGCTGAATGCAGATAAAACCAAGGCTATTATCATTGGGTCCAGACATCTCATCAGCTCCCTTCCTTACTTTCCTCTACTTTACCTCAATAACCATCCCATCCATTTTTTCCCTACAGTCAAAAACCTAGGAGTTACCTTTGACCAGAACCTCTCCTGGGATAATCATATCTCCCAGATTACCCGAAAATCCATAATTGCCCTTAAACAACTCATAAGATTCCGTGATTGTATTCCTCTAAAAACCAGACAGCTCCTTATAACCTCCCTTGTATTCCCCCACTTCCACTACGGCTGCTTGGTGTATGGAGGGTTATCTGCCAGGCTGGAAATGAGACTAAAAAGACTCATGAATTGTTTCATAAGATACGTTTTTGGGATCCCCAGACGTTCACATGTTTCACTATGGTACACCGAGTTGAAGTGGCTTTATCCTATTTCCCGACGACAATTCCTTGGCGTTTTCCTTTTCCAAGTCTTCAGAACTAAAAACCCTCCCTACATCCTAGAACTCCTTACTCTGCGCTCCTCTATCCACTCTCTCAATACTAGATCTCAACCTATAGACTTATATATTCCCTCCCATAAAACTTCCTCCTTCAGCAAATCCTTTGTCATTCGTGCTGTTTCCTTATGGAACTCACTTCCTACCTCCATGCGTCAATCCTCATCCACAAATTTCTGCAAACAACTCCTGTTCCAACACCTACTCCACATTCAAACTTCCCCTAACATGTAAAATTACTTGCATCTATACAATGTTTAATTTCAATCCATTGCACAATTGAAATAACAATTAACAATAAATTAGTTGGTATTTTTATTATATCAGACTAAGATACATAAATTTGTAACTCTGTTATTATTCTTAGGGGACAGTAGTCCCAGAATAAAATTATTTTTTCATTTCATTTTCATTTTTCATTTCATTTCATTTCATACTTGGATAAGTCCTCATATCGCAATATCAATTTACATACATCTGGAATGAAAGAACTATTTTGTAATGAAACTAGGACGGCGCCAAAAAAAAAAAAAAAAAAAATAACTGTTTCTGAATGAAATAATTTTTATGTTTAAAAAAATAATAAAAATAAAAATCCTTAATTGAATAAAGAATGTTTAGTGAAATTCAATTTTTCGACTGTAATTAATACTTATAAACTTCACAATGCTAGGCTATCATAAATAGAGAAAAATAGAGACCAAGGATATCAATTAGCCGAGCCACGTCTAATAAGTCTAACTGACTAAATTTTAGTATCACATTAAAATTCAGTCAGACGAATTGTATGAGACTCAACAAGCTTTGAATGTCCTTTTAGTCCGAGCTTATTCAAATTTAAGTTACAATAATATGTATCTAAAATTATGTTATATATGAGGTGTAAAATTCCAAAACCAGATTATCATGAAATAAAAAAAAAAAATGTAAAAACAATTTAATCACATTCTGAAAGAAATGTCTAGTAGTCATGTGATGGTGTAGATGAAATGGATAATAACCTTTCATATTTCAGGATATATTGTATATAATCACTCCCTAGAATATAATTGCACATTATAATGGACTGGCAATATTTAAATACAGATAGTGGCCAATTTTAGATTAAGCATAAAATATCCAACCAGCCATTTCTTAATGATAGTGAAATGGTTGAATGCAGATTCTTATAGAGAAGTTTGTTGGAGATTCCAATCATTAGAATTACAAAAAAAAAATTATTTATTTTCTTTGAACCAGAAATAACACAGTGGTGATCGAATAAAATTAGTAATAATTTTAAAAACAACTAATAATTCAAATTAACCCCTCCTTAAATGGTGAATAATGTAACCTCACCACAACATTCAATAAAACTGAAGACATGCCTATTACGTTATGTGAACAAGGTTTTCAATGGTCAGCTTCTTTCGGAATTCCATCTGCAGAGTGAATGATGTGATCTTAGAGCTGTCATATTGGAATAGCAATTTGCAACTTATACCATTATCAATACACAGTAAACCCATCATGCTAACAATAAAACAACACTTATGATAGAAATAACTTTAATTGTATTGTGCTATCGAGAAAATTGGTTTTTCTTTAAAGTTCGCTTTTTCAATATAAACTTATAGGTAAAAGGCAAATTCATCCTCTATTATTTCCAGAATCACAAAAATACATAAAATTTATATCAAATAAATGGACAAAAATATAATAAAACTATTCTTATGATTAATTAGAAGAAAATTTATCTCATACAGAAAAAATATAAATAAAGTCGACAATTATAGCTACTAACCTGCATGTGGTTTTCCCAACACCTCCTTTGCCTCCAACAAAAATCCATTTTAATGAAGATTTTTCCACTACGTTCCTTAAATCTGATTTTTCATTTGAAAAATCGCCAGCCGAAGATGAAGAGGCCATGATAAAAGGCAGACTAAAAGTTGCCTGATAAACAGAGAGCAAACTAAACGTTCTGTAACGAACCTTTATAGATAGCCAAAGAGAAAATAAAAATAGCCTTCACTGCCTTACACCATAAACGTTATAAATTAGTATCATATTCTCTTGCTTTTTACTTAATTTTAAAATTAAAGGAAACATTAAAATTACAAGGAATGTAGAAATTACCATTAAAATTCCTTCTTTTAAGAAATAATAAAATTTAATCGTAGATTAAGAATGGAAGAATTATACCTTGGATGCGCAGTTAAAAGGTGTTTTTTTTTTTTTTTTTGCTCTTCTCCAATATTTCTGGAACTGTTAACTTCAGAAAAAAGGTAATCTGTGCGAAAGGGTCTGTTAATTTTTTTCATATTATCAGCAGTTCGAGAGATATCTCAAGAGAGGAATCTCAAGTTGAATTTACTGAGGTGACCGTATTTTACCTGTGAAAATATAAATTTATTATAGCTTTGATGCTAGAAATATATTGTATGTTGAGAACCAGCAAATTTAGCCAAAGATAATAAGCCAATCGATACAAGTTGGATATTTGAAATTAAGTCAAATGGTATCAAAAAGGCTGCTTTAGTTGCAAGGGATTTCAGGAATAGCCCAACGTTGAGAAATGGTCGACAACGTTGGGGAACCCTTGGGGTGTCAGCCAACCAAATATCAATGTTGGCCCAACTGGTTTTTACCTATTAAAATCTACGAAAACGGAATAGTTGTAATATTACTATCTTCCAACATTGGGCCAACAGTTGTTCCAACTATAAATCTACGGAAATAGTAAATTGCTTTCTCCCGACCAGTAGCCGATTTATGGTTTAATTTGGGAGGCTTATTATTATTATTATTATTTTAGAATTCCACACTTTCTTGGCTTTTGCCAGAAATATTCACCTACTGCTGGACCTGGTCAGATATGTTATATAATGAGGCAAGGGGTTGGTGGACAGTTTGTCAGGTTATTGTTCATCATCAAGTATTCTTTACCTGACATCCCGTGGATACATGATAGATTGACTCTGTAGTATTTTTACGTATGTGACATCGGTCACTTATGTCTTCTTCGCATATATATTTCCTGTAGGCATAGGTGGAAACTACCTGGTCCTGATTTGCCAAAATAAATCCTTCAGTTTTGGGAAATAGGTATTGTTTAGTTTACTATGCCAATCCCTTTCAAGGCTGTCAGGGATATTGTCATAATAATTCTGCTTTAAGAGCTGGTGAAAATTTATTGCTGTGGACTGTAAAATTAGAGGAGTTAATGGATTAAAGAAGTAAATGAGTAAAATTGATTGCTATATTTTATTACATGTATTTTATAAGGAGGTTAAATATAGGTGGGTTGGGATACTTGCATTTTTTCTTTTCTTGTTGTGCCAGTCTTCTTGTTCATCTTCTCTCTCTTCCTTTCTTGGCCTCTTGCCGGCCGCTGTAGTGTTTTACTCCATGTTTAATAAATCAGTGGAATCACAAAATTTTCAACTGGCCAGTCTAGTCAATCTCTCACGCTACGTGAGCGTCTATGCTTCAACAATGGCGGCGTCACAACAATGACTGAGGTATATATGCAGCATAACAGCTGTGTTGTGCTTACTTGATTTAATTCAAATATCAAGTTTGATGTTTTCCCTAAACAGGTATCCTTTTTTAAGCCAATTAATAGAGGCATCATAGTTTATTTCCGTTTGAGACATAGAATTATAAAGGCGACCATGTAGTGTTTTACTTTTCCAAGTTTCGATTAGATTTTTTTAAAGAGCTGTGTAGGCAACGACTTAATTGCTGACCACACAGCAGAGTTTCTTAGTTGAAAAGTGGCCCTTAAATTACTTTCTTGATCTATACAGCTTCTTAATAAACATACAAGTCCCTTTCCTTATTTCTTCTGAGGCAAGTGGATCTACTCAATTGAAAATTTGGAATGTCGTTTCCTAGCGTTGGCGTAAAAAGAACAACCGATTCGTTCTTAAAAGCTGCGTGTTAGACCACTTTATAATGCCAAAAGTGTAAGTGAACACGGGGATAGCCTGTGTATTTATTGTTTTAATTAAATTACCAGATAAAAGGGTCATTTTTAGTAGTTTTTTATTCTCCTTTTGATTTCATTTTTATAATTATTTTTCTTGGATTTCAAAAGTTGACAAAAACCCAAATATTTATAAGAACCTAAATTGTTTATTTCCTTTATTGTTTCATTGTTAATTAGTTTTGTTCCTTCTTTATTCGTTATCTCTCGCCTTTTAACATAGATTATATCACATTTATCTATATCCAAAGTCATTTCTTTTCTTTCGTTTGGCTCTACAGACCTTGTAGATCTTCGGCCTCCTGAACCAGTCTCCTACACCTCTGCCTATCTTGGGCTACTGCTTTTCAGTGTGCGGCATGAAGCTCAGCCGTATCTTTGTTTATCCAATCTATACATCTGGTTTTTGGCCTCCCACGAGATCTCTTGCCTACTAATCTCGCATTCATCGTTGTGTAAAGGCTAGTGTTGCCCAAATGCGAGACGAGACGAGTCTTGGTGTTGCAAACTCAGTCTTGGTCTTGCGCAAGAGTCTCGCAGTTACTTATTAGCTTATTACTATAGAGATATTACTGTAATTTTTTAGATAGGAGAATCCTAACTAAGCCAGAATAAAAAATTAGAGAAGATAAATGTAAAAGTATTTTGGTTATACCAATAATTAACATGTAGTAACTAAGATTATCAAGTATTAGTAACTATTTTACCTTAATTATTATTAAAAAAATCGATTTTTTTTTTTACCAGTCCTAGTCTTGGTCTTGCAAGATGCAATACCAAGTACGATTTTGGGCAACACTATTAAAGGCGTCCTGATGGATTGCTTCGAGCCACATGCCCCGCCCATCTTAACCTCCTTGCCTTCATATCATGAGATATTGATTGACTAGTTTCTTTTAGCAGTTCTTTACTGTTCCTTCTCCTCCTCCATGTGTTAAGGTTCTAGTCCCATATAGGTTCTGTTATCGTACGGAGGACTTTTCTTTCGAATCTCTCAATTCTGTTTTCTAGGATGCCGGTTAGATCCCAGGTTTCACAGCCGTACAGCAGAACTGGCATTATGTGAACCCTTAGTTTGAGATTTCTGGAGATTTTTCTGGCTTTCAGTACCCTTAAAAGAGAGAAGGAAGCTCTGTTCGCACTTGTTATTCGCTGGTCTATTGATTGGTCATTTATTGAGGTTGTTTTGGAGCCGAGGTATTGAATCTACTTTTGGGAATGATGAGTCCACGCAGATGATGCTATCAGGGTGGATATTTCGGCTATCTATCGTATATTTTGTTTCATCTTAATTGACTTGTATCCTGATTTCCTCATATTCTCTTAGCAAAGTCCGAGCGAGTCTCTCAATATCATCTTGATTGCTTCCGAGGACAGCTATATCATCCACATATGCTAGGATTTTATGTGTTCGTCCGACGTACACCCCTCCATCTTCGCATGATGTTTTCTTATTACTGTCTCAAAGGCTAAGTTGAACAGCATTGGTAAGAGTCCATCTCCCTGCCTCAAATTCGAAATTCAAAGGCTTCAGATACTTCTATTTGTGTTAGTATACTGCATTTAGGATCATTTGTACACGCCTTCGCCTACCTCATTAACTTCCCTGGAACACCTAGCTGAGTCATGATCTTCCAGAGACAGTTTCTGTCCACGGAGTCAAAGGCTGCTTTGGAATCGACAAATAAGGCGTGCATGTCCTGATCTACTTCCCATCGTTTTTCAAGTAGTTATTTTAGGATGAATATCTGATCGTACTCCTCTCCCTCCTGAATCCTGATTGACAGGTCGCCTATTATGTTTTCATAATACGGATATATCCGACTTAGCAGAATATTAGTCATTATCTTAGAGGCAACCGGAAGGAGTGATATGCCTCTGTAATTACCACGCTCGTACATGGAGCCCTTCTTAAGGATAGGACAGATCAGCCCTATGTTCCATGTTTCTGGTATCCGTTCCTCCTCCCATATTTTCTGGATTAGTTCGAATATTCTGATGGTATGTTGTCCATCTCAAGAGCCTTTCTTCTTTTAAGTCTGACGATAGCTATTTCTACATCCAGAATATCTAGTTTTTCAACCTCAAGTGGGTCGATGTCCCCACTGTGGTACATGTCTTCTTTTTTTGTGGCGTATTCTAGATTTAGGAGCTGCTGGAAGGGTTCCTTCCTGATGCTTAGAATCTTTTCTTCTGATGCCGTCAATTTGCCACCTTTCCCTCGCATTTCCTATTTCTCGCTTTGTATGCTACCCTTCCTTTCCTGATATCTGCGAAAAATTCGCCAGTTTTCCAGCCTACCAGTTTTCATCAATAGTTTTTAATATTTATTTGAGAAATTCTCTTTTTACTGTTCTTATTATTTTGTTTTTCTTTTTCCTGGTGGCTACGAATTTGACCAGCATAGCTTGATCAGTTTGTGCTAAGCAGAGGATTTTTCTTCTTACTTTTCTTCTTTCATCCACCGACTTTTCGCTTTGTTCTGTGAACCATTTCTTGGCTTTTCTTTTTTCCTGAATCTCTACTACTTCCTTTGCTGTTTGTTTTAACCCTGACTCCAGTACCTCCCAATGTTGGTCAACCGTGAGCCATTCGCGTTCAAGGGTTCGAATTTATTTTTCAGCTGAATTTGGAATTCAGTCTGTACTATAGGACTTTTCAAATTACGGTCTTCATATCTCTTTCTTTCAACTTGATCCCCAATTTGGTGGATAAGCTTCAGCCTCTGACAGAGTTTGATTCTAATCAGAGTTTGGTCCGAATCACAGTCTACTCCACGATAACTCCTTATGTCTTGTATGGGGCTTTGATGCCCCTTTTCCATCAGCACGTTGTCGATTTGGCTTTTTGCTCCTTTAGGACCCAGGTGTACTTATGTATGTCCTTGTGCGGGAGCATCGTACTTCTAGACCTTTAGTGGCTGCCAGACTGATACATTTCCTCACTCCATTATCACTGCTGGTT